TCTTTTTCCTTTATGTAACAGAAGTCTTCAGATTGTGATAATCTTCAGATAATGTCAAGATTCAAAAGATTAAAAATGTATTTTCAGCATATTTTGTAGACATTTCAGTATTGATTTGCCTTGTACTTGATTGCTCAGATTTTTTTTTTTGATTTTTTTTTTCATTTAGGTAATTTTTTACAAAATCACAGAATGGTTTGAATTGCAAGGGACCTTAAAATACCAACTTGTTCTAACCTCTGCAATGGACAGGGTCACCTTTCACTGTCCCAGTAAGCCCTGTCCAGCCTGGCCATGAACCCTTCCAGGGATGGGRCAGCCACAGCCTCTCTGGGCAGCCTGTGATAGTTCCTCCCCACCCTCACAGGGAAGATTTCCTTATCAATATCCCATCTATCCCTGCCCTCTGGCAGTGGGAAGCCATCCCTCCTTGTCCTGTCCCYCCATCCCTTGTGAAAAGTCCCTCTCCAGCTCTCCTGGAGCCCCTTTRGGCACTGGAAGGGCTCTGAGGTCTCCCTGGAGCCTTCTCTTCTCCAGGCTGGACACCTCCACCTTTCCCAGCCTTATTCTGTATGAAATGTGCTCCAGCCCTTTGAGCATTTTCATTGCCCTACAACTGCCCTACAGTTTGGGCCTTGACCACCCTGCAGTTTTTGTCCTCCCACCCAGGGCTGTCAGGCACAGCACACARTTCTCTATTATTCTCTAACCTAAATAAAAAATTAAATTATTTAGCATTCTATTCTGGCAATACCAGCCCTTGCAGGGCAGCTTTGTTTCCCTGGAGCAGCCACCTGGCTCCTTTAAAGCCATGACAGGCCCATAATGAGAGGTCTTGAGCAGAGGGAATCAGGAAATCACGCCACAAGATGAATATGTGAGCRGTTTGGGAAGGCAGTGCCTTCATCCCCACATTGTTGCCAAGCACAGGGGTGTCCAGCCGTGCCGYGTACGTTTTTCAAATGTTCCAGCTTAGCAGCTCCTCGGCACATTTCCTCCAAACACCAAGCAGTCGGTGAGCAAGTTAATGTTTGGCCTCCTGCCTTCTTCCCCCCACACAAAGAGCTTTGTATGGCAAGTGTGAAAGCTTCAAAACGGAATAAAAATAAGGTTATTTTTCATCCTGGATGGGAGGTGACAACKTGCAACTCTTTACCTTTTTCTTTCCTTTCCCTTTTTAGTTCTTCATGCTGAAAGAAAGATATAATGCAACACATTTTTGGAAGACTAAGCAGACGTTTACTGTGCCAGGTCCTATCTACTGCATCCTTCAGTATGTTCCAAGGAAAGCATGCAAAGTATTTTAACTCTGCTGTACAGCACATAACTCAGCTTCTTAACTGCTTAGAGTGACTTGGYCTACTACAGAGGGAGTAAAAACTGTCTACTTCTAATTCTTTTGATAAACCAGTTGAGTAGTGTCATTGYTGCCATTTTTTGTATCTGCCTTCAAGCTGAGTTTCATTAGAGGTTTCACTATTTCTTCATGTCAGAAAGATTCCCAGCAAACTGGCATTTATTCTGATGAAAGAGGACTTCAGCTCTGTTGCAGTGACTTGCTGCTCCTTCCAACACCAGAATTTGGAAAATTTCACTTGCATAAAGTTGAAGTTTCTTAGCTTAAACATCCTATATAATTTCTTGTTTTCAAAAAAACAAAAAACAGTTCAGAGGAAAAAAAAAAGATTCAAAAAGGATGAGTAGGTATCCTTTAGACTACAGATTAAATTATTTTAACAAATTTTGTGTGACTTCCCCAACACTGAATGCCATTTTCTTTAAATTGTTTTGGTCTAGAGTGATGCTGTGTTCACCATGTGCTCACTCTTTCTTCTCCATTTTTATCCCATGTTATTGATTCATTTATAAAATATACCTTAGGGAAGCAAAGGTAAGGGAATGTTGCATTTTTTTGAAGCAGGAATGGTGTAAGAGAAAAACAAAATACTGCTTGTGGTCTTGACAAGTGAGGAGGAAAWCGATGATCTGATGTCTTTGACTTCGGTGTTCCCTTAAAGATGACCCAGCTCTGTCACCCACCTGTTCATTTCTCCTGGGTTTGCTGGTTATTTACAGACTATTCTAAAACTGGCAGGACTGATGGAATGGCCATCCTTATCCTTCAGACTGTGAGGTTCCATGCAGTGATGTGTGGGTTCTTTTGTCAAAGTCAGTTAGGAAAAGAATATAATCGAGTTGTGACAAACATTATTTTATTTGGTGGTGGTTTAGAGCATCACAATGGAATCCACCTTTAAGAAAGCATTATTTTAAAGGTAGAATTGAAGGAAGRAAACAATTTTATTTCACATATATGTAGGTAATTTTGCTGAATAAAAATACTCATACAGAGAGAAGCRATTGAAAGTATTTATTTAGAATATAAGAACGACATTAAATCYAGTGTTTAGACAGTTACTGTAGACAATATATATAGAGAAGTGAAGTCTTTATTAGAAAAATCCCTCAGCAGCACGTTTCTTTTAATGAACCTTTGAGTTTTTTCACTTATGAAGAGACTTGTAATACTTATAATGAAACCTGTAGCCTTTCACAGACTGCATTTTTAAAGCTTCGTAGTCTATTTGCTAGAGTAGCCATTGCTAAATCATTTACTTTAACATAACTGCTTTTGGGATTAATTCAGTTTTGCAGTTTCCATATTTTATTATGGGATACCTGTAAAATTTGTCAAATTTCTACATTTTGGGGTTATTTTCTCAGGTAGGACTTTGGAGCATAACTCCTCACATTACCATGTCATGTAATTTTGGGTTTTTCATGCCTTCCTTGTCGTTTCAAGGGGTTTTAAATCCCTGGGACTGCAGTATGTGAAGGGTAGTAGCCAATGGCTTAACATAAAGGTGACAACAGGAAAAAAGAAGGATTACAGAATTTAAGCCATATTGCCATAAAACCCCAGCTTTTTAATTATTTGAAGAAGTTATCTCTTAAATATATGAAAGATTAAACCACAAGTTAGATGCTTTTATAAAGCATAAAGTAAAATTACACAAGGAATTAGGAATGTTGTTTTTAGGATGTCTTATGTGAGAAGTGTCCTGGGCTATGCAGAAGTTCGATGATCTCTGTGATGCCTTCTGTTTTCCAAAAGTATGGCTGAATTAATTCAGGGCTGAAGTTGAATTCTTTAATGGCTTGAAGTTACAGCATAGATTGTGAAAATTATTTTTAAAGGAATASAAACTCAGTGTGGACTTAACATCTTGCTGTAATGGATTAACTGAAAATTTTTACTAATGTGAAGTGGCAGCTCTGAAAAATGTAGTCAGGTTGCCTGAACCATGCACAGGAGAACTGCAAATTCCTAAGTAGAACAGTTTCTGTGGTGGTGACTAAAGGTCTAAATACAGTGGAAGTGATTGACTGGGCGAAAAAGAAGGACTGTTCAGGTTCTTGAGCAGTTTATGGTTTAGTTTGCAGCTAAATTGAACATGTTGATTGTGAGCTAGATCTTGTRAGTGATGGATTGGATGGTTGTAGGAGAGTGAGCTAAAAGGCAGAGAATAGGGGAAGAAACTGTGAATTTGAAGTACTAATTTTATTTAATTTCTTTTTCCTYCTGATTTGAGAGCTGCTAGGGCCAAATGCAGGTTGTATAGCATGGAGACATCTGTATTTACATATCTGTCTCCAAATACACTTACTGATAGCCCAAATGTCTTCTATTAAATCAGATTAAGAACTCCATGATTACGATTTCATCAGATGTAAAATGGTTCATGGAGTCAGAGCAGAATTTGTGTCTATGTGTGTGGTTTTTCCCTTGTTTTTGGTCCCTGGTGGGAGCACACCTGTACTTTTCATTCCTTGTGGATGGTTTCTTGAGCTTCATGGACTCACTGCAGAAGGACAGTCTCAGTGCCATCAGCCACTCCTGACATCACCTTGTAGCCACAGTGATAGTTCAGGTGTGATGATTTATTTATTGGATTACTGTTTGGAAGACAATTACACTCCTTTCCTTGTTTAAAATGATCTACTTGATTGAGAGATTGGACTAAGCTGTCTTCTGCTGACAGGGAAAATCATTCTTTCATAATCTAACTGAAGCTTCTTGCCTCTGATACGTGGAGGGTTTAATCTCTTGTGGAGATCAGATCTTTACCTTGTGAAAATCAACCCTGCTCTGTTGAAGTAAASAGAACTCAAGCACCTGCTCAAACCTAACTGTGCCCTTCAGTGCTGCTTCAACCGTGATTCAATTACAGCATCGTGGGTATGTGGAGGGGAGGGTGTGTGTAGTGTTTGTGGTTTTAAAACTTGTCTTCTTTTGAGATTCATTCTTTTGGTTGGCACTGGTGTCCATGTGAAATATATTCTTAACAGCAGTAATGAATATTTGAAGATTTTTTTTTTTCACCAGCAAGCTCTAATTCAGTCCATTTCCTTTCTTTTCCTGAGGTGTTCAGAAGTATAAAAATTCAAGAATAAATTAATAGTGAAAAAAAAAAAAGAGAGAGACATGTGAACCACTTGTTTATTACTGTGTATTGAGTGTGGGAAGGGGCACTTCAATGCCCCTCCCTTCTGGCACATCAGTGAGATGGAATTTATTAATTTCATAATTTAGAAACACACAGGTTCAGTTCTGCTTGGTGCAGAATGGGTTGGCCTTGGTCCAGGAGAACATTTTACCAGTCTGGTCATCTKTAAACACAGGCAGAATCCTCATTTGCTTCAGTTAGGGCAGCAGTGCTCAGCACCTCTCYCCTCTCAGCCCTCTCCACTGACCTGGGTGGGCACTGTGCAGGCAGGTTTTTAAAATAGGAATTGACACAATCCTGTGGGAAGTTTAACTCACAAGACTAATAACCCATCTGTGGTTTATATTTCTGCATCTTGACTTGTTCAATGCATGTTTAATTTGGGAGGGTTGATTCAAGGTTATGGCGAGGGCGCTTTGGTGCTATAATTTCTGTTGTGGAATGCAGTCTTGTTGGGATAAGGTACATCATGTACTTTTACTCTTTTGTCAGAGAGCAGAAAGACAAACACGAACCATGGACTCGGTCCAGTATGCAGAATTCTGTGAAAGTCGGCAATTGAGTTTTTGTAAGTATTATAATGGCTTCACTGTACTRAAATTCTTGATTATTATTTCATGTAAGAGAGAGCCCACCAGAACCTCATGTTTTTTGAAAGCACTTTTGTTTCRTCCACAATAATAAAACTTTAAATTTTTTGTCTGTGTAACTCCTGGGAACAGTTAATTGAGCAAGGTTTCAGGCTGTCAGGCAGAGTATTTTATTTGAATATTTACCAAGCTTTCTGTGCTCAAATACTGAGCTGGTAAGGATGACTACAAAGACAGAATTGGTAAAGAGTTAATGGATTAAAGCCACACTTGCCCAAAGTCTGGTGGTGGTGCTAAAGTCGGCACATTAGCAAAGYTTCATGGCTGCAGGTTTTTCAGAATGCCTCTAAAATTAGAGAAGAGCAGCAAGTTTTGCTTTTATTTCCCGATCCACAGAGACACAAAGAACTTACTAAAGARTCTTTTCTATTTTAAGCTGTAAGCTCCTGCTGTGGAATTTATTCACCATTAGCCAAGTTCATCAGTGTACGCCATTCCAACAGTAATAACATGATGACAGAATTAGGGYTTTACTAGCACTGAAAACCAACTTACTCGAAGTACTTGTGGGCCATGACTATAATGAGCTGTAAATTAATGGGCTTGATCATGTAGCAAAACATCATTACAGAAGCWGTTCAGTGATGACTAAGGCTTTAGGTCAAATGTCAGAGAAAGGGAGGTGAAGGAGCCAGTAAAAATCATGACAAAACAGCACATGATCCTACAACACAGACTTGAACACAGTGGTGTCTTTAAAGGAGAGACCTTATCTGGTTCTTCCTTTTAAATTCAAAGAAAGAGTGACTCATTTATGGCAAATAAATGACACATTTGAGATACTGTTCTCTCTCAGCAAATGTCAGCAAATGTAGGGAAACATGTTTTGTAAGCATTTCTTTTCCTAATTCAATATGGTTTTTTTTATGTTTAGTTATAATTTGGCATCACACATCTGTGACCCATTAGATAAATGATACTTCAGATTAGGGTGACTTCAGGAAATGAGAGGTTTGTGATAAAGTCATTTTTAAAACCCAAAAATTGCCATCTGGAGACAGAACAAATAAAAATCTTAAATTTGCAAAATAAAATTGAATGTTGCTGACCAGGAGATTGTGATCTATAAAAATACCTCAGGGCTATTTTCACAGTTTTTAAATGACCATGTCTATATGWCTCTTTTTCACTGACATTTAATGTCATTAAAGACTAAGAGAATTACAGTGGTTAGAAAATAGTACCAAGAGTCTTGGGCCAAAATTTAGTTGCATAGTATGAGCTCAACTAGACAAATGTTCTGCTAAAGGTTGTGCAGAGCATTTGTTAAAAACTAACACAAAGCTATTTTTTTACTTATTTATTTCAGTAAAAGTTGATTGTGTTACTATGTTCAAAGAAGTATATTACTGTAATAGAAACCATAAAAACTGTGTCACAAGAGAATAAACCTGGAAGGGACTTCAAGAAACCTGTTCTAAAAATATAYATTGATAATCACAGCTCCAGATATTTCTGCACTTTTAAATACGGGAAAAAGAAAAGGTCCCCTAAAGGATTAAGTATTATGGAATTGCAAATTCAAATTYTAGGGAACATTTTGTGCTCATTTGGTCACCTTCACCCTTCTCATACTCCTTTCTTTTTCTTTGATTCTTTTTTTTTTTTCTTTAGTGATGCAATGTAGCCTTCTCATTCCCTCCTAAATAAAAATAACCATTATTCAGACTTCTTTCCTGTTTAACACCTGACTTGTCTGTATCTTTTTAGTCCTGATTGAAAACTCTTTTGAAAGAGTTTCTGTTTGTTTCAGATGATTTTTCCACCTTGTATTCACTTCATTTTGGTTGTCCTGTCTCACAAACAACCCTCATTAAGACCTCTGTCTTAATAGCTCCTTTCTGTCCACAGATTTCTGTGATCATCTTGTCCACCACTGACCTAAGTAAGATCATCCTCTTTTTTCCTCCTTTTACTGTCTAAGTAAATATTACATTTCATTGTCCCACATTTTTCTCTGCCCTTTTTCTGAAGTGATCTCACCCATTACCAGTGTGAAGTTTCGTATGAACATTGATATTTGCACATCTTCATCTATTCTTATTTCTTTATATCCAAACCACACTKAGAAAACACTGTTCCACAAATAATTTTAGCTCACTTGTCAGCACCTCAGCCCTGTAAAGTTAAAACCAGGACTTCCAAGTTCTTCTGTCCTTCATTTGTCTTTGCTATTGTTAATACAGTTATATCAGGTTTATTTGGCATCRTATTTGTGTTGATTTCTTTTAGTGCTTTCTCTTATTCATCAAAGATTTGATACAATAATTTTATTTATTTTACAATAATATATTCTGAACCAACCAGGTTTGTCCTGTCCACACTCCTCTGAGGCTGACCCTTCCTTGTTCTGAAATCTCCCGTATGGTTGATTATCTTGTGTTTTTYCTCTTTATGCAATGTTCTTAGGTGTCTCCAAAATGTATGAAATGAAGTGTTCCCCCACTGGTTCCACTTTGAATAATTCCTTCTTTGCCCAGTCAAATCACACCCACACTAATTGCTTCACTTTTGTATTTTTTTTTTCTGCAACCCAAAAAAATGGTTTATTTTGCCTCCCTGTTGTTAACTTTTCCTTTTCCCCTCACGGTTTTACCTGACAGCAAAGAAAGCATCCAAGTTCCGTGACTGGTTGGACTGTAGCAGCATGGAAATAAAGCCAAATGCAGTTGCAATGGAGATTTTGGCATATTTAGCATATGAGACTGTGGCCCAGGTAAGGGACTGATTGAACTCCAGTGAAAATGAATTAATTACTCTTGGAGGTCCTTCAGCCTCAGTGAGTGGGTTGTAAGCCCCTTCAGAAAGGCAGTCACTCATTCATCTATCCCAGCTAACTGGATTCATGGAGTTATGGGATGGTTTGGGTTGGAAGGGACCTTAAAGCCCATCCATTTCCAACTCCCRGCCRTGGGCAGGGATCCCTCCCACTAGACCAACTCAAAAATCCAGCCTGTCTTTCCATTTGCTGTATGACAGATGTGTGCTGTACAGTGTTCATCCATCTCAGACACAAATAGAAATGTTTTATAATGGCTGCAGAGGAGAGGGGAGTCCAGCACGAACCTTTTTCAAGTCCAAACTGAAACCACACACTTTGCTATGTGACCTTTGGCAGTGCACTGAGGCTCATTCRATCCCATTGCACAATTGGATTAGAAAGAAGGATTTCCTGGAAAACAAAATGTTACCTTAGTGCCAAGCTGAACCCTCTTGGGTAGGTAGATTGCTCCATATATTTACARAAGTGGAAAAGAAAGATTCTTTAAGCTGAAATATCTGAATAATTTTATTTTATCTGAGGAACACTAAGAATATTCTGCCTCAACCCACAATCATCACTCTCCCATTTTTACAGTGGCATTTTTAGTACCATGTCATAACCCCACCTGTTTTTCCCCTCCAGTTAGTGGACTTGGCCCTTCTGGTTAAACAGGACATGGCTCCCAAAGCTGGTGACCCGTTCAGTCATGCTATATCTGCCACCTTCATACAGTACCACAACTCTACTGAGGTAAAACTTGCTTTTTCACATATTAATGCATTTTATRTTTTGCTTTGACATGCTTTTTCTTCCAAAGTACACATTATTGAATGTGCTCTTGATACAGACTTCTGTTATGGAATTTGTGAACTTTGGAGTTATGGATTTAGATGGAAAGACATTTAAATTCATGAATGTTAAATTCTTAGCAGCATCTTTATAATTAAATAAAAGTCCTCTTTTCTTGGTTGAAAATTCCTTCTCTCTCAAGATGAGACAGAAGGCTCAAGAAGGCACTCAAGTTCAAGGCTCTGTTGCAGATTTGGAGATTAAAGTTTTCAAAATTGTCAGGTGCACTAAGTGCAGTGTTGCATGCATTGATACTTTACTGATATTATAGTAACTCCTAGAATGAGAAAAGCAAAGTCTGTATTGCATCTCTTCCAAGAAGAAACCTGAGAAGGCAGTAATTGGGGTGGCGTTTATTTGTGATTTGATTGTGTCATGGCTGTTTGACATCTTGCTTTTGCAGCCACATCTCCTAGGGCAGTCAGCAAGTGTGAAGACCAGTCTTGACTCCCCTGAGAACACACCACCCCCTACACCCACCCCRCCAGCATCAGCAGGACAGCAACACCTTGGGAAAACCCCCTCAGCAGCCTTGGGAAATGGTGGAATTGGACAGGACTCCACCAAATCCAAGCAAAGAAAAAGAAAAAAGGTATTTGGGACACAATTCTGGAGGGAGAAACAAAATTAAGAAGAAACCAACACATCCTCAAAAATCATCACAGAATCACAGAATGGTTTGGGTTGGAGGGGTCCCTAAAGTTCATCTTGTTTCAAACCCCTGCTGGGTTTGAAGGGACACTTTCCACTATTCCAGGTTGCTCTAAGCCTCATCCAACCTGGCCTTTAACCCTTGCAGGGATGGGGCAGCCACAGCTTCTCTGGGCACCCTGTACCAGGGCCTCACACCCCTCACAGTCTCATTTTAAATATTAATTTTAACCTATATCGTATATTAATGGCCATTGTTATTGTAGGGCCAAATGTGGTTTGTTGTTTTTTCTGTCAGAATTATGCTGAATTTTGCTAATAATGTCTGCAAACTGGGTTTTGTAAGGTGACTGCTGCTGCTTCTAAGATATTCTACAGGCACAGCAAGAGCCACCATCCCAGATCATCATCCCCTTCTCTGACACAGGCAGTGAGCACAGGTTTTAAAGTTCAAAACCTTTAAATAAGCAAAATAGGCAAAGAGGTGCTTGTGATTTTCCTGATCTCAGCAGCCTTACGTGACTGCCTCCCTTGCCTTTAAAAACTTTGCCTGACTTGCTTTATTTTTACACCAGTTGGTTGCATTCAAGCTAAATATTTGTTAACTTTGCATAAAACAGAGACGTTTCATATGCAGAGTGTGAAATGTAAATGTTACAATTCTTGTCKGCTGTTGTAGAGTCCCTGTGTTCTATCTGAGATGGATATATGTACCTAAAACCCACAAGAGAAATCAATGTGATTAAATAAACTGCATAGGAAGGCCTGTGTTGCTCACTTGGGGCTGTTTTGAAAAAATGTGATGGCAGTGCTCATTTTGCTGAAAAGCAATGGAGTGACTTGGGATTTTAGAATGTGTTTTCCTTATTAAAAATACTCACTTTTCAGGGTAAAATCAGTGATTTTTACAGTGATAGGTAGAAAAAGATGTATTTTTTTCTTCTAGTGTCGTCAGTGCTGTGGATAGTCCTGAAGTGTTCAGCTTCCTCCTGTCTTTATTATACTCTGGTTAGAGAGCTTTTAGTGAATCCTGGAAAGACTTCTGCTTTTTCCTCTTCCATTTTTATGTTATATTTGATTATGTTTCGTTTCTGTGGCTGATGTTCATTATAATTCCTAGGAACAGAAATTCAGCTGGAGATGTAGATTTTGATACATTATATTTTACTGGTGCTTTGAGTTTATTTTATCTTCTTAGTGTTTGATTAAATGCCTTTGAAAATAATTATATTCCAAAAAGTGTACAGTTTTAATGMAATGTTCTCATGACTTATCCAATTTGGTTAGGTATCAACTGGATATAAATGAGGCATTGAGACAAACAAGTTAACTTGGTGAAAATACTATTTTTAGCATATGAAGGCTCAGTCCAGCAGAAAATGTTCAAGTTTCATATTTCCTTTATGGATGTCAATCAGCAGGAGAAGAATCTGCCATCAAATTGTGAATAATTCTGTGTGTACTCAGGCTCCAGCGGACTCAACTCTCTTGAAAATAAAACATTTTGTAAAAAACCTCCCAAGTTTGAGAGCATTAGGACATGATGTGAATGTATGAGGAGGTTGTGTGAGTGTGTACATTAAACTTCAGTGTATAATTAAAGTTTTGGACATTCTCAGTGCACTCACTAATACAATTTTCATGAATTTATTGCCAAGCAGCCATCATTAGATAAGTCATCTGAATTCTGGCAAGCAGCCATGTCTAGGTGGAGCCTAAATCAACATCAGAGTGACTAGCAAGGAGAAAAGAGTAACTTTTTCCTTTAAAATCCCAGAAAAATTATTGTGCAATCAGTTTGCCAGTAGCAGTGAATTCTTATTTTTACCTATTTAGTGCCCATAATCGTTTGAAATTTTTAAACTTTCCAGTTTGAGGTAATTAATTTTTTTTTGCATCCTTCTAGTACTATTATGTCACATCTCAGCTTCAAATCTCAATTTTTTACTACTCAATGGTGATTTTGATGTCCAATTGCTTTCCACTTCGGGTGCTTGTTCAATGTTTTCCCCACCCCTTGACATCATAATAAGAGCCTGAAATGTTTTAAAAATAGTTTCTGTGGTTATTGCAGCATGACTTATATGACCCTTTCATTTTAATTTGAATATTTTCTTCTCTTTTCAATTGCAACACAGAGCAGCACTAGGTGAAAGATTTAAGAGGACTAACATGGTGTTCTTTGGGTCTCTTAAGCAAAGTTCATGTAAAAGTCCTCTTTAATTTGTTAATAGGTTTTTTTCTGYGATGCAGTGTGTGGTGGCAATGATGTGTATCCTTAGGAAAAAAAAATTGGTCCATTTTATAAAGGTTTATTTTCATACTTTATGCACTGTAGGTCTGTTGTGTGTTTTTGATTTAGTAACAATTTATGTGTTTTTCTCTTGCAGAGCACTGCAGCCTGTGGGATGGAGGCTCAAAGTGATGCCATCCAGCCCAGCCACATCAGAGAGGCCATTCGACGCTACGGCCACAAGATTGGCCCCCTTTCCCCATTCACAGTACGTAATAACAGAGTTATAAAAAGTTATATTTATAATCTTAAAGAACTCTGATTTTCAAGTGGTCAAATGAAGAAGCTTTGGAATTGTTTAGAGCAATTTGTGGTGACTGTAATTTTCTTTATAAAAGTGGCATAATTCTCTTGGGAAATAAAACTTAGTAATTTCTGTCTCTTTTTGGAAAGACAAAAAAAAGGGTTTTTTTTCCCTTTTAAATATTATTTTCTTTCAATTACAAATTATGCTTTTTTGTTAGTGCTTGAATTTTCTGTTTTTCCAAAGTTTAGGTTTACAGTTATTTTAAATTATATGTATTCCAATATGGTGAAGAGCACTTTATATTCTAAAATTAGTTGTGTGTCAGATACTGCTCCTATTGGAAGTTGAACTCTCAAGTGACACATTTACGGTTGGGGAAAGAAGAGAATGGTTTTTTTAGACAACTTTGAACCTTCACTGAAATGTAATAGAACCGACCTTGTGGTAAAACACTGATGGGTTCTGAGGTTTTGCCATCATTTTTTCTATGCAAATTGCAAACCCATTGTTCAGAGCAGCCAAACGAATTCTTTATTTAATTTTTTCAGCTGATGAAAAGGTGAAAGMAGTCCATCTCCAATGTCATAAATTGGGGTAATTTTCTTATCTGCTGTTCTGTGTGGTATATATCCTGCTTACCTCAGAATATCTGCATTTAGAAAATAATRTCAAAGAAATCATTATGGGAAAAGCCAAACAAAATCCACCAAACAGGATCTCAGCTCCTAAAAATCAGGGAGAAAATGCCCAGTTTCTGAGAGATTTTAGAAAGAGAAATTTATTCTGAATTAGGTGAATTCATCCACATAAAAGTGATACAGAAGTATATGAAGGCTATAAATATAAAGGAAATAGTGGGACTTCGGAAGCAAGGAACAGGAGAAAATAAGAAAAAATGAGTACTTGAAGTTGGAATTTTCCTAGTGCCCAAACTAATCCGTCCTTCTGTAGATGGCAGTAAATGTTTGGTTTCTTAATGACCATTGATACACAATTGCAATGAMTTCTTTACATAACTTCTCCTTTCTCTTTTGCCCTTCAAAAATCAWAGATTAATATCACGTAAAGTGTTGGATAGAATTTACAGTCCAAAATAGAAAAATGTCTTTAGCAGAAGTTTGCTAAGAGATGTAGCTAAGAATATGGCAATAGCTTCTGAAAGCAGAGAATGGATTTAACTTCATTTCAAAAAAAGTAAAGAGCTCACATAAACAGTTGCAGAAAGGTGATTCTTCCTTCCCTGACCCTCACTARAAGTGGTTTGGCCAATTCTTAACCAAAGTTCAAATTTTTAATTCAACCACAAGTTATAGTAAAATACTCTGGTTTGGGTTGGGTTTTTTTTTTATGTCCTCCAGTCTTGTGAACTTCCCAAACAGTGCAACCGAACAATTTARTTTGTTACCATTACCTACAGTCAACGTGGTTGATGAGAGGAGCAGATCTTGTTCCCCCTGAACAAGCCAAGAATAAGAGGGAATCTTGGGTCAGCTTCTGGATGCCTACCGATGTTGTAGGGCTGTAACACGATTCTGCTTCTAATGAGAACGTCAGGAAAAGTATTTTGAGAGGTATTGCAGAGTCTGCATTTAGATCATTTCCCTATGAGTCCCTTCACTGGCAATTTTGGGGAGGGGCCTGGCAATGACCATTGTCCATTTGGCAGTCAGGACTTCTGTGTCTTAATTTGGCAAACACGTGGATGGAGCACTGATTAACCCTCTGCAATCTGCATTAATGCAGACTGCCATAACAAATATCCTTAAATGACAGTGAGGTGTGGTGGCACGTGTGTAACCAAACATGAGGAAATAGATTAACAGTCCTGCTGCAGATTTTTGTGTAATCAAATGGCCATTTCCTCAGATCTCAGCAGCAGGAGTTCTGTGACACAGTGTAGGCAGTGCAAAACCTTGGTATAACRTCAGAAGTCTGAGCTGCTTTCTGCAGTGTCTGAGGGGGAATTTGTATCAGGATCTAAACCCTTCCCTGAACTCTTTGAAGGAACTAGAAGGGGTAATTTTATGGATCAGTGTAATAACCAASAGACTGGCAGTTGTCAAGGGCCTGCTGCATTCATAGAGTTCAAATCTGGACCCAAACCACCAGAGGATGGGTTTTCTAGTTAGGAGAAGGAAATTTAACWGTTATGTTGTCCTACACAAGGATGGGTGATGTGGGAAGAGAGCTGCCAATTGCATCCCAGCAGTACTTACAGAGAGTCACTTTTTTAAAAAGACGGAGTTGAGGAATGAAAAAGCTTCATGCTACTGAATAGCTCAGTCCCATACACAGAATTTAGAAAGAAAATATAGAATATATTATTTTTTTTAAATACGTATTCTTTTGTTTCCTTAGGATAGTAAATATGTATTTGTAAATCATGAACACTGATATTTTTTCACATCTTTCCCTTTTTTTGCTGTTTCATCATGATTGTCACTCCCTTCCATCTGATTTGGTGATAASTGTCCCTAAGGACTTGGTTTTGGAAGAAGAGTTAAGCTTTACAGTTTATTCTTTAGCAGCATTTGATGGATGTTGGTTTGGACAGAAACAACACTTAAAAAGTTTTGTAATCATATGGTAAATGAGAACTAACATTAAACCAGTGAAAATGATCCGTTTGCATTTATTTTGACCTTAATAGCTATGTCAGAATGACTAACATAATTAGGSCATTTAGGTTTTGTCTCCAAGTGCAAGCCACAATGGAAAGCAGCAAGTGTACTCTGGATTCTTCTGCATTGTCTCATGTCTAAGGTAGTTTGGACAAATATTTTATCCAAATATTTTCTTTTAGCAGTACTGGGTGTTGCTCAGTGTTTYCTACTTTAAAACATTGTCTAGACTTTCAGAAATCAGAGAAATATTAAACAACAGCACCATGTAATTTTGCAAGACAGGAATGGGAAGTATGGAATTCTCCATCATATGGGATAATGCAATTCCATGTGCCGTACCTGTGTCTATTTCTGAATGCATTTAAGTTAAAGAAGTATATCGTGAAAGGGATATCCAATCTTGATTAGGCCCGAAGGAATAATCCTAATATTCTCCCAAATATTATTCCAAATAATAGTATTTGTTGCACCAAGGTGTTCACAAAAATATCAGTTGGATTTTTCTTACCAGGAATACAAGCATTTTGTCTTTAGAGAAATTAATTTATTTGAATTGATTGTGTTTCAAACAGTTGGGATAGCAAACAAGTAATTCTTTCGGAGTATTTATTCTGGGAATAATGTACAGTTCTTACCTGGAATCTTGGTAGGAGCAGCTGTAAGTGGTGCATGAACAGTTCATGAGCAGTACTTGTGACCACGAGAACAGCTCCAGCAAAAAGGACAGCTGAGATCCTTTTCTCTGAAACAAAAAGCCAAGTGGTCAGCTGCAACAGTAGAAGACCACGGGCAAAAAGAACAAGAAAATGTTTCCAAAGCAGATTYTTTGTCTTTAGGTTATGCCAGCTCTGGAATGAAATGCTTTAGATGTTTAGTTAAGAGAAACTGAGCTCACAAATGTAAATTGTAATCCTGCACAGGCAGACAGTGACCATTGTTCAGCAGCCTGTGTGTAAATGGGATGTATTGAATGAACAGGGGTTTAACTAACATTTCTTTGGGAATTTATGTTTTGGGGAGAATGTTCCTTCAGCCTCCCAGGCATTTCAGTGAGAAAAGACTTGGTAATCTAAACCTTCTCTTGTTAAATATTTGATTCTCATAAAATTRCCTCTGCAGCATAAAACAATGAATACTTACCAACAGGTTTTTGTAATACTGTGACATTCCCTGCATGAAGATCATGCACACCAAAAAATGTGATTTGGCAAAAGCTTGGGTTATTTGGGCCTTATAGAACCCTGCCTGTACTCTTAGGGATTCTTAAGTAATGAATGCAAGTATCCCATGTGGACTTCAGGAGGTTRCATGTACATGGTAATCATAGTTTCACAATCAAATTACATATTTAGTCAAGGTCTTTCACTTCTGRTGCTTTTTAAATGCTTGTTATTGTTCCTGATTGAGCTCATTTTATGCAATTACTTAAATCAATTTCTGTGGTGAAAATCACAGCGGTTCATCACAGATCTTTAATAATTTCAATATAATAAAGATGCTTTTGACCCTATTAATTTCCCCTAGAAAATAAAACCTGTGGAATAGTAGCTGAAGACCTGGCAAAGCTGAGCTTGTGAGAGACTAAACCAGCAGATTCACGGGATAGAAAGAAGATAGGGAAACTTTAAAAATACAAAGGATAGAGTGTCAGTTTGAAATTTGTGGAAGAGGACATTTTGAAAAGCAAGTTTGGTCTAAGCATCTTAAACTTCAAGAAAAACTCAGTTTCACAATCCACAGAGTCACAGAAGGGTTCAGTTTGAAAGGGACCACTGGAGGTCTCCTGCTCCAAACTCCCTCCTCAAGCAGGGTCCCCCAGAGCACCTGGCACAGGATTGTGTCCAACAGATTTTGGGGCATTCCAAGAAAAGGAGACTCCTGGAATTGGAACCAGGAAAAAGGATGATTTTGGGGTATTCCCAAGAAAAGGAGACTCCACCTGGAATTGGAACCAGAGGATTTGGTCTGCAACTTAGTCTTCTTAATTGAAAGAAATCTCTTTTTGCCTGTTTCAGATCAAAGTCATAGTGAGAAGAAGTTCTAGAATATAATCTTCAGTAATTGTTTTGATAAACACAGTGTGGATACAGCACAGCTAAATTTTTCTGAAGCACTTGAATGATAAAAAGTTTTGAATGCTGTTTCCGAAAGAAATTAGTTACATGGAAACCAAATAAAAAATCTCTGATATTTAGGGTCCTGTAAAATATAGACTGCCCATATTGATATTCAGAATCAATTGATACTGATTTTGAAGAAGTTAGGATTTCATTCTTAATCACTTCTCAAAAATGAAATGTATGCATTTATGTCAAAAGGCATTTGAAAACTTTCCCT